CCAGGCTCAGGGCAGGTATCCTGAAGGCTTGTTGCCTGGAAGACAAGGCTGGTGCAGAACAGGGAAAGGGCAAGGGTGGGGGTGTGAGCAAAGGCGGCGCAGGCTGTGCCTTCGAGTCCTCGGCTTGATTTAATCACTGAATCTTTCTGGAGCCACATCTTTAAGATGATGTCAAACAAGCTCAAAACAGCTTCCAAAAGGCAAGCCTACTACCGAAGTGCAAGAGAGCGGACTGTCACTGTTTCTTTCAGTGTCTTGGACTGGGAAGTTCCTCCAGTCATCTGACCTACTCACTCTTGCTCCAGAGAAGCTGGTTTTGACACTGTGCTGCCTCCCACGGCCGCACAGTTCTCAGGGGCCCAGTGGGGGGGGGGGGGCTGGGAACTGTCTACTATCCTACCAAGGCCTCAATCGGCAGCATTAGTGATGAGTCAGACACAACCAATTAATTATCCCAGTTATAAAAAGCTTTGCTTCCCCTTCCTAGATGTCAAGTGAGCTGGCCTCCTGGTTCTAGGCTCCTCCGCTCACTGAGCTGGGAGCAGGAGACTAGGCCATTTCACCTGGCTGGTCCTCAGTTTCCCTTCTCCTTACTTGTCAAGTGTGTGTCCTGGGGGAGGGGACTGTGTGAGCAAAGACTCGAGGCAGGAAGGGAGGAGGGGTCTCTTCCCAAGCTGTCTGCTTGCCCTTCTCTCTCCCCAGGCTCCGCTCCAGCACTGCAGGGCCAGATCCCAGCCAGGGACAGAGGGTCCCGAGCGTGCCACTGGAGACACCCCTACCTTGTCCAAACCGCTCCTGGCCCAGCGCTCTTTCTCCTCCATCGGGCCAGTTCCCAAGTCCTCTCCACCCTTTCTTCCTTCTCCTTGCGAGCGCTCATGAAGAAACACCCAGACTCAAAACACACGAGTGCTCCCCTATAGCCTCCACCTCCCTGAGGCTCCTGCTGAAAATCTGTCAGCAAATCTGTCCAGGACTCCAGGTGTGATATGGCTTTATGCCTTGGCTTCTCTATCCATAGATGGGGAAAGACAAACATGCCTCACAGGGGTGTTTTAACAGTCGATGGGGCAATGCAATACAGTAGGTGCTCAATCGACGTAACTGACTCTCACACTCCCAGACTGCTGCTGAGTGACCTGCCGCTGACTCACACCAGTCTGGCATCCCCCTTCACACACGAGGCCCGAGGCCCGGAGAAGTCAGCTTCACAGAAGAATGTGTTAGGAGATGCAGGGGGCTCGCCCAAGAGGACCTGAGGGGAGGCAGGGCCTAGGCATGGGCAGAGCAGAGGGTCCCCAAAGGAAGAGGGGACAGTGGGCTCAGAGTTGGGCCCCATCCCTTCGCTGAGGCCTCTCCTCCACCAGGAGCCCTCACAGCTCTTTGGCTCCCTTTCCCTACTTAACCCGCGGCCCCCACCCCCACCCCCAGCTCACTCCGGGGCCTCAATTTATTCAGCACCATCTACGGAGCACCTTCTCTGCACCAGCTCTGGCTCTGAGACACCAGATGGCTGTTCCCTTTCCTGTGTCAGGCCAGGGAGCCCAGCACCCATCACAGCCCTCACCCAGCTGGCTCCAAGGGGCTGGGGAAAGACAGGAGAAGAGAGGAGAAAGGGAGAAAAAGGGTGAGTCAGCTGAGGCTGGAGCCCAGGAAGTGGGAGAGGAAGCAGGAGCAGAGTGAGTGACAGGGAAGGGGAGGATGCTCAGCCTCAGCTGGGAGTCTAGGGGAGGGGAAGCAGGAGCAGAGTGAGTGACAGGGAAGGGGAGGATGCTCAGCCTCAGCTGGGAGTCTAGGGGAGGGGAAGCAGGAGCAGAGTGAGTGACAGGGAAGGGGAGGATGCTCAGCCTCAGCTGGGAGTCTAGGGGAGGGGAAGCAGGAGCAGAGTGAGTGACAGGGAAGGGGAGGATGCTCAGCCTCGGCTGGGAGTCTCAGGGTCTCCTGAGGTGAGCGCAGCCCACTCCGCAGAGGCCCTGCCACCCAGAGCTGCAGCAAAACCGTCTCCCCTCTCCCTCACCCAGCCAAGCTGGCTTGTGACCTCCTGAGGCCCTTCCTGCCGTTGCCCCACACGTGACACTCAGACCTTGGTATTTGCCGGGCTGGGCCTGCACCGCTTGGGCTCCCAGTCAACTCAAAACTTGCCTCAGCCCAGAACTTCCTCCACTCAGGGCCCTGTGCTGGCCACAGCCAGGACCATCCCTTCCTGACTCCACAGCCTACGGCTGGCTGGCCCTGGGCCCACCGCAGGGTGTGAGCGCCCTGGGAGATACACCTTCCTCCAGGTTCTACTGCAGCAGCCAAGGAACTTTCTGCCTTAGCTCAGCCATTCTTCTCTACCTTCCTTAGCCTCGGCTGTCTCCCCACCCCCACCAAGAGCTTTTGGACCCACACTGCCTGGAGCCAGATCTGAGCTCTGCCCCTAACCTCGGGTGTGACCTGGGCCAAGTCACTGACAACGGCTTCTATTTCCAAGTGAAATGGTGGCCAAGACACCTAGCTCGCAGGATAGTCAGTGCTCAGCACAGCGCCTGGAGCAGGACACAAGGGTGCAGGCTGACTGCTGCCCTCCAGCCGCCTTTCCCCACAGGGCAGGCCCTGCCGCCCGCCCCGCCCCGCCCCGCCCCGCCCCGCCCCTGGGAGAAGGCAGCTCAGAGCAGAGCAGTGGCCAGCACTTCTGAAGACTTAACCCAACCCCTCTCCCATTTCGGGGATGGAGAGGCTGAGGGTGGAGCTCAGGAATGACTGGTCTTGATGACTAGTCCCAGCTAGCACTGTGCTGTTCACTTCATGCCTTTGTCGCACGCCACCCTCCCAGCAGCTCCTTGAGAGGTGTGTGTGCTCTTTCATTGGCGAGAGACCTCGAGTCAAGTCCGTACTGTGGACAGAAATTCTAACCGAAAGTAACCTCGGAGGGCGATCTGATCACACATTCCTAACTGGGCGGGATGGGTGAAGTCACACCCCAGGCCTATAACTTCTTTAGTAAAAGGTTTATCTTTGCCTGAAGCAAGCCCAGTCCATTGTTTCTGTGCATCGAGGTTCACACCTGTTTGAAATGCCTCTTTTCGGGCCCCTGGGAAGTGGACCTAACCTCCAGGGAGCACATAATCTTACTAACTGCCCTGCAGTCCAGTGTGCCTTGCTTTCTCCCACCTTCATTTACTCTTTTCTTCTTCGTTCCAAATGCCTTCTCCGGAGCCTCTGAGACCTTCCTTCCCAGCACTGTCATCAGTTTGGCTCAAATAAAACTATATTAAAATTCTCGCCCAGCCGGTGTGGCTCAGTGGTTGAACATCGTCCCAGGGACCAAGAGGTTACCTGTTCAATTCCTGGTCAGGGCACATGTCCAGGTTGTGGGCCAAATCCCCAGTGGGGGGCATGCGAGGCAGCTGACTGAAGTTTCTCTCTGGTGGTTCTATCTCTCTCTCTAAAAAGTTGATTAGCCCTGGCCAGTTTGGCTCAGCGGTTGGAGCATCGGCCTGCGGACCAGAGAGTCCCAGGTTCGGTTCCTGCTAGGGGCATGTACCAAAAAAATAAAAATAAAAATAAAAAATAAAAAAATTTCTCTAGAAGTTTGGCCCTGGCTGGTTTCTCAGTAGTTAGAGCATTGACCCATACACAGAAGGTCATAGGTTCGATTCTGGTCAAGGGCAGGTACATGGATTGCACGTTCGATCCCCGGACCCCATCGGGGTTGCGCAGGAGGCGATCAATTGATGTGTCTCTCTCACGTCAATGTTTCTCTCTTTCTCTTTCTCTCTCTCCCTCTTTCCCTCCTTCCCTTCCACTCTATCTCTATCACCTAAAAATCAGTGGAAAAATATCCTCGGGTGAGGATTTACACCCCCCCCAAAAAAATTATCTACAGGTTTGGATATTTCTTACAGCAGCAGTACAAGGAGAAGAGGCACCATTCGAACTTGAGGTCTGCCTGACTTTCGCTCTCACAGACTGGACCACTGTGGGGAAGACCCTGCATGCACCTGAGATGGAAAGGCTGACCTGCTCTCCTTGCCTCCGTTTGGCATGTCGCCTCCTCTGTGCTGAGAGTGGGGACACGACAATGAATCAGGCCAGGTACCCACCAGCTGGGTACCTGCTTCTCACCATTTGGGAGTCATGAGCCCAGGCTCCTGACTCAGTCTAGCCTCCATCCCTCAGTATCACAGGCAGAGAAGGAGAACCAGTAGGGAACAAGCTTCCCCAACCTCCAGATAGCCCTGTGATGCCTGCCCTCTGACCCTAGCAACCCCTACCCTCGACCACTCTTGCCTGTTTGGGGCTAGCTGAATTTGGAAGCTGGCTTCTTTGTTCACAGAAGGAGGGAAGAAGAAAGTTGTTTTTCAAGCAGCAAAGTTTTTACATAAACACAATTTCTCTCTGTTCCTTCTTAAAGGAATTGGGTTCCTTCAGAAAAGAAACTAGATTCACAGGCTGATAGCGCCTGGGATGAAATGCAACTTGGAGTCTGGCCTGGGGAGCTGAACACTGAAGGAGGCTTTCTTTATCGGGCTGAGCACCTGCTGCCAGCGCTGGCAGGCCTGTGGCTCAGGTGACAGGGCCCCGGTGCCAGGCCTTACCCTGCCAGCTCCCAGGCTCCTGATGGCCTGGCCCACCTCCTCACCCTCCCTTCCAGCCACCCCACCTGCTTGCCCGCCTGTCTGGATCTGCCAAGAAACCGAGAACTTCTGTTCACCTTGGGGTAACCCCTTCCTCTTGGAGTGCCCCTCCTAGAGCATCCCTCCCTGCCTGACGTCAGGAGCAACCCAGCCCCACGCTGTCAGCGGAGAGTTAACCACTGGTTATACCCACGACAGAATGGCCTTACCCACCTAGTGAGGTAGATTCAAGAATTATCACGGGCCTATTTTACAGAAGGAGAAGTGAAACCCAGAAGAGGCACTGACCTGCCCAGAGCCACATAGCAGAATGACAGAGCTGACACCCCTCCCCCCAGACCTGGGCGCTCCCTGGGTCTTTGACCAGGTCCCAGCGTGGCTCACCGGTGTGGTGTCATCATGGGAGCGCTGGTAGCGTTTCCAGCGGCAGCCGTAGATGCCGGTGAGGCAGGAGAGGCACAGCTGGGGCTCATAGTACTGCAGGGGCTGGTGTCTTACCATGCTTGTGCCCAAGGCCCTGGTGCCTGGCCCTCAGGAGCCCATGGGGCCCCAGGCTGGTCCTGTGGGAGAAAGCACAGGGCTGTGAGTCAGGGGAGAGGTGGGCAGTCACTGTAGCCTAGGTCAGGGCGGGTCAGCCTCTGCACAAGTTCCTGCAGTGGGTCCCAGGCCCACCTAGAGTCAGGGGCCCACCCTTCAGGTCTCCCTGGACAGTCTCCTGCCCCCACCCCCACCCCCACCACGCTTGCCCAGCACATGCTGCTGCTGCTTCTGCCTGGAAGGCTCTTCCCTTCGAACCTCACATGGTTCAGTCCTTCACCTCCTCTCCTTGGGTCTTTGCTCAAATGTCTGTCTCAGTCAGACTTCCCCAGGTCTCCGCTTGTAAAACTGCAACCCCTCCCACACTCTCCCAGCCAATTTTAGCTTTACTGTCTTGATCATGTTCTCCAACATAATTTACTTATTTTGTTTCTGGTCTGCTTATGTCACTATGATGTAAGTTTCCTAAAGGCAAGGATTTTGTCTGTTTTATTCTCTGCTATACCCTCAGTAACTAGAACAGTGTCTAGCACATAGAACTTTCCAAATAAACATTTTAAAATAAATTCTCATGAAAGCTGACATGTATCGAGCACTTAAAATACTCCAGGTACATGTGAATACTTTGTAACCGTTGTTCCAGCTCACCGTCACAAAGTGGCAAGGACTGTGTCCCAAACCCATTTGATCATTGAACCTGAGGCTCCGAGAGAGGAAGGGGCAGCGCCTGGCCTGTGGTCGCATGGCTGGGTGTGGTCAGTCTGGGAATCTGGTGCCTTAAAGTGTTCATTCCTTCGGGCTCAGGGAGCCCCAGCCCAGCGTGGCTCATGGGAGGCTGGTAGAACAAGGGGATGTGTCTTGTGGGTTGAGTTGCTGCCACCAGGAGCAACTGCCCCAGCCCTGCTTGGTGCCCTGGAGATACCTGCTGAGGCTCAGCATTGGCCAAGTGGGGCCAGTGGCCATTGGCTTGGGCACCTCACACACCCTGATGTCAGGCACCATCTGATTCTCAACACCACTGTTATTATTGTCCCATTTTACAAATGGGAAGCCTGTGGCTCACAGCAGAAAAAGTATTTACCCCAGGAGTCAGGACTCAACTCCTGGTCTGTGGGATTCCAGAAATGGAAGCCATTTGTTCTGTGCCAGACCCTATTCTAGGCTCTGGAGACACTGTGAACGAGACAGACTCGGTGACCCCCCAGGGACCCTCACAGGACCAGTGAGGGGAACGAGCAGGCCCTTACGATGCTCCAGGCACCATTGCAAGTGCCGTCCATATCCTAACTAACAGCAACCTATGGCAAGCATTACATCATCTTTTTGTTGAGATAGGATGCACACGCCATAAAATTCACCCCTTTAAAGTGTGCAATTCAGTATTTCGCATTTTCGGTGTGTAGGACAGTCACAAGTTGTGCAACCATCACCACTATCTAATTCCAAAGCATTTCATCACCCCAACAAAACTCCATATTCACCCCCGTCCCACCCACCGTGGCAACCCCCGTTCCCACCCATCAAGACCTGATGACCACTAACCTACTTCCTGTCTCTATTATGTGCCTAGCCTGGACATTTCACATAAATGAAATCATACAATTTGTGGTCTTCTGTGACTGGCTTCTTCTTCTTCTTCTTCTTCTTTTTTTTTTATCCTCACCCAAGGACATTTTTTTGTTCAGATAGAATGGGGGAGAGAGAGAGAGAGAGAGAGAGAGAGAGAGAAACATCAACATGAAAGGGACACATTGAGTGGTTGCCACCCACACGACCCAACCAGGGCCGGGGACAAACTGAGGTACGCGCCCTTAGCAGGAACCGAACCCGGGTCTCTCTGGACTGTAGGCCGACACTCTAACCACTGAACCAAACTGGCCAGGGCGTGACTGGCTTCTTTCACTAAGTATGTTTTCAAGGTTCATCCGCATAGTACCATAAATCAGCACTGCATTCTCATTTCATTTCATTTCATTTTATTTTATTTTATTTTATTTTATTTTAATTTTTTATCCTCACCTGAGGACATTTTTCCATTTTTTGTTCAGATAGAGCGGAAAGGAGAGAGAGGAAGAGAGCGAGAGAGAGAAACATCGATGTGAAGGGACACATCGAGTGGCTGCCACCCGCACGACCAACCAGGGCCGGGGACAAACTGCAACCGAGGTACATGCCCTTAGCGGGAACCGAACCCGGGTCTCTCTGTACCGCAGGCCGACGCTCTAACCGCTGAGCCAAACCGGCCAGGGCTATTTTATTTTATTTTAATTTTAATCTTTTAGAGGGAGAAGATGAAAGAGGGAGAGAGATAGAGAGAAATATCAGTTGGCTGCCTCCTGCAGGCCCCCGACTGGGGGGGTCGAGCCCAAACCCAGGCATATGCTCTGACTGGGAATCGAACCAGTAGCCTCTTGGTGCACGGGACAATGCAAACCAACTGAGCCACACCAGCTGGGCAGCATTGCATTCTTTTTTATGGCGGAATAATATTCAATTGTACAGATCCTTTAACCACTCACTGGTTGATGGGCTTTTGGGTTGCTCACCACTTTGTGGTTGTTACAAATAAAACCGCTGTGAACAAGTCTCTGTATGAACGTATGTTTTCATTTCTCGTGAATCAGTACTCTGGACGGAATTCGCTGGGTCATATAGCTTAACCTTTTGAAGAACAGCCAAAAGCTGTTTCCCAAAGCAAGCAGCTGCACCATTTTACATCCCAAAGCGCTATCATTACCATCCCCGCTGTATAGACAGGGATCTGAAGCGCAGACACGTCAGCCCTTTGCCGTAGGTGACACAGCAGAGCCGGGCAGTCTGGCTCTGGGGCCTCGCTCTAACCAGGGGCAAACGGTACCTCGTGGGCCATGTCTGGCCAGCCACCTGTTCTTATCTAGTCCACAAGCTAAGAGTGATTTTCACATTTTTAAATAATTGAGAAGAAAAAAAAGTCAAAACAAGAACACATTTGTGACACATGAAAATTATATGAGAGTCAAATTTCAGTGGGTCCATAAATAAAGTTTCGTTGGACGCAGCCCGGCTCATGCGTTTACGTATGATTTATGGCGGCTTTAACTATAACTGGAGTCGAGTAGTTACGACGGAGCCCGAAGGCCCACAAAGCCTAAAATACTTACTGCCTGGCCCCTTACGGGGAAGGTCTGCTGACCCCTGCAACCACCAGACTATAATGGCTCATAAGTGCAGCGTCAAGTAGAGACAGTGAAGGAGGCTGTGGGCACTTAACACGGGGCAGAGAGGGTCAGGGCACGCTTCCTGGAGGCAGCGCTGAGCTGAGGCCTATGAGATGAGCTCCCAAGATGTTTCTTTCCGCCCCTCCATTAAGATGCCTCTTTCTAAATGCCCAGGGGCTGCACCGCAGGAGCACCCAGGCTTCAGGCACCCACTACTTTTACCTCTGGGCCTCATTCAGGGCCTCTGACTACCCACCCCCACCCCCACCAAATGCTAACCTCAGCACAGGGATTACGGCCTCCAGTCTGAGGAGAGAGATGCATTAGGGGCTTGCTGGGAATATCTACTGACCCAGGGCCTCCTAATTGCTGGGAAATGCCTGGTGCAGCCTCTGTGCCTGTGGTTCCCTGGGGAGCCGTGTGGACTATGGCGCAGCTGCTGGGAATTCTCTGAGTCAAGCCGAGCCCAGGGCTTGGGGGACAGTCAGGGATGGGGATGCTGCTGCCGTCGGCTTAGCTCCCACAGGGTTGGGGAGACCTGGGGAGCACATGGGATGCTTTCAGCTTTATCAGCCAGCTCTCACCCTGTGTACCCCCAGACGAGGGCCTCTACTGTCAGGTGGACGGCCCCACCTGCCCCCACCTCCTCAGGCAGGGAGGAGGAAGCGGACACGCAGGAAGAGGGCTGGCTTCGTCCTGTGTGGGCCACTGGCTTGCTCCGTGCCGGAGGCCTCTCGGGGCTCTTCCCTGAGCCTTGTTTTCTGAATCTGTAAATGGGGTAACAGCCTTTGCTGGACTTCAACAGGAGACCAGATTATGGGGGTGGGGGGATGCCAGGAGGGCACATGGCTGCAACGACTGAGGTACCACAGGCGGGTGTTCTGCAAGCAGAAGTCCACACCCAGGTCCCCCCGCCTCACATTCCTTTCTCAGGACCCCCAACCCTGGGACTGGTTCTCATGTGTCCTCTGCCCTCCCCCGCTCGCCCACCCCCACAACTGAGCAATACAATCCCAGGAGCAGAAATTCCACTTCAAATCTGGTGAAGAGGGCAGTAGAATTGCCCACCAGGCCTCAGCCCAGGACCCAGCTGACTGGCTCTTGGAACCGCCTCTCCCAGGAAAAATTCCACACGATTCATAACTTCAGGGCATCTTTGGGAGGCAAACCTCTTCCCTTTCCTTCTCATGTTCTCCTGGGATCATCTTGTCCACTCCCACGGCTTCAGTTACCAGGTGCGGCCAAGGCCACCCAATCTTTGCCTCTCCACCGAGAGAGCAGGCTCCTGGCTGTCTCTGGGGGCGTCACCCAGCTCCTGCAGACCCAGCACTGACCTCACCACCTCCGACATGCTTCTCATATCCCTCAAAGCCCTTTTCTCACCATCCCGTTGGCCACTGCCCCAGGGGGTGGGGGTGGGAGGCAGTGCCCATCAGTCCAAGCTCTCACCTGCGGCCAGCCCAAGATTTTTAACTGGCACACAGCCAGGCCCTGGCCCCTTCAGTTCCTCCAGCCTCACCACTCCAGAACTTGCTGTCCCTTCACCTGACTGACATCTCCTGACCCTTCGGATCTCAGCTCAGATGTTACCTCCTCCAGCGAGCCTCCCTTGAGACCAGGTTTGGTTAGAGCACTCCCCAGCCTCCCAGAGCCCTGAGCACCCCTAATTCTTCCTGGGCACCCTGCGTGAGTACTGTGGACATGTCCATCTCCCCCATGGGCTAGCCTGAGTCATCCTAGATCCCCAGTGGCCTGCACAGGGCAGCAAGAGGGGGGGGGGCCTGGGGCTTCCTGGACTGGGCAGCCGAGGAGGCCTGGAAGTTCTA